TATTACGTAATCGCATATTGCCGAAATCATAAACTTATTAAACTTATCGAATCGGTCTAAAATCATTCGGTCAATTTCTTACCAGATGTCCCAAAATTTATGAGAACAGCTGTAATTGAATTTATTATGCCGAAAAAATTACCGGCCGAAAATTTTTTTCGGCTAATTTTTTATAGGTAATGAAAACAGCTGTAATAGTGAATAAGCACTATTTATTTTTCGCAACGGGTAAGTTCCCGGTTATATAAGGGCCCGTCGGGCCCTTATAGAACCTGTCGGACCCTTATATAACCGGAGATCTACCGGTTTATTTCCCCGCAGTGGAAATGTGAGTGTTATTTTTCATTTTGAATGTTATGACGGCTGACCATATAAGTTGCAGTAGTGATTTCTTCTTTTGATCCACAAATTTTACAATATTGATAATGAAATCAGTATGGTGCTTTTAAAATACCGTATAAGCGTGAAATAACGCTCGTGGGCGTTATTTAAACTTATATGGTCTCGAATTAGCGCTCATGTGCGTCCCGAATTAACGCGCATCACATAATTTACTGTCGCGATATACAGTCGATACTCCATATGCGTACACTCTATAAGTGCACTTCACATGCACTTCCCTATAATGATAGATGCACGTAATTTATGTAATCATTTAATATTATATGTAAATTATTCTCCATAATAGATATTTTATAAATGTAACAAGTTATACGCCTGCTCATGCGCTGGGAGCTTTTTTTTTTTGATATCTTTTGTTAAGGTTTGTTGGTTGGCAAGAGTTTTCTTCCATAAATTCTCGTACAAACTAATCATATCAAGCATATCGAATATAGATACGGATGAAAATTTAACAATATTGCTGCACTGATCACAAGCACTTCACTCATTGGATCGGAAGTAAATTTAAATTTTTAATTGGTCGGAAATTTAATAGATTAACCAAATGTGTTATTATTTTGATGAACAAATGAGCGAGACACAGACTACCTTTTTCTTCAAAAATTTACCATTGATAAAGGTCGCCCAAGCATTAATTTTATATATTTTACATATCAATCATAATAAACAATTAATTCTTAACAATTTCTAATTTGTCTAAAAAGATAGCACTTTATTTTTAATGTTCGAAGCTTTTAAAACAAACAATCAAAAGATTAATATAAATACATCAATCTTTTAACGTTTAACCAAACCATAATGAATACTGGTTTTCATTTTTCAGCCATTTAATTTTAAAATCTTCTCTGTAAAGAAGAACTAAAGCTGAAAGGTTTGAGTAGATGGTTTTCCATTTTTGATTGATAGTAAAGGAATTTAAATTGTTAAAATCATTAAAAGGAGGAGCCGACGTAACTAAAGTCGAAACTTTAACTGTTGATTGTAAATAAATTTTTTTAATTAGGTTTTTTAGGTAGTAAGCGAACATTACGAAAAACAGAAAAAGCATACTCAAGCATTTATTTCTATAAATATGGTCATCAATTGTGATGGCTGAGCGTCTTCGCGATTATTATCTGATCAACGCTTGAGAATAGATAAGTTGATGTTTTAAAAATCTGTAGAAAAAAATGAGTGCCGCCAAGGGAAAACTTACAAGTCGTATTTTTGTATATTTACTTTTAATAAAAATATCTTAAAAATCAATATAATATAAACCTCATTTAAATAGCCAGAATGCATTTTTTCAGAATTATTAAGAATTTTAAGAATGACATCATGATTTCCTTTTCGATCATATTCTTGCTTCTTAGAAGTAGACTAATTAATCTATGTTGCTTTATATATTACACTAAATCCTTCTTTAGCAAGGTATTCAATATTGGTAAATTGTTTATATGCAATGAATTCTAATTTCGAACTATTTCCACAATTACTATAAAAGGCTTGCGTTGATTCGATAAAATCGTCTATCAATATATTACCACCTAAGACTAATGAGAAGCAATTTTTCTAAAGTTATATTTCTTGCATCTTGGATTTTTTATACTCTTAGAGACTCTAAATTTAGATACAAACGAAGCTGGAAGTTTATTATCTTTAACTAATTTTACATTAGATTGTTGTTGTAAAGCATTAATTTATTTTTCATTATGTTGAGTAATTTCTGTATTATAAATGTTAAGTAAGCTTGCATTAGTTCGATCTTTAGTAAAGCAAGTAGTCCATTCCATTGATAGATTATGATTAACTTGATCCTCATTATTCCGAGTAATGCCTGTAGACAATTCTATAATTGGATTATTAATTTTTAGTAAGCTTGTATTAGTCTGTGTAAAATTTTCATTCCATTCTATAAACGGATTATTATCAACAAAGTCTGTAGACAATTCTATAGTTTGATTTTGACTAACATCTGTGGACCATTCTATAAATGGATTATAAGCTTTTGGCAAACTTGCAGTAGTTTGATCTTGAGTCAAGTTCATAGACCATTCTGTAGGTAGACTATTAATGGTTTGATCTTTATAAACTTGAGTAAAGTCTGCATACCATTCTCAAGATGGATTATTATAAATTTTTAACAAATTTATTTTCATTTGATCTTAAGGAGTAAATCCTACAGTTCATTCTATTGATGGATTATTATTAATATTTTGCGAGCTTTCTTCATTATACATTGTACAGGTAATTAAAATTCGTTATCAATAAAATTAAATTTATTGTGGCTAATTTATATAACATTACAGAATATTCGAATTCATGATCATTTCCATATTTTGAGCAATACAATTCAAGAAATCCAAAGAATAGGTTTCTAGAATGTTCATGCATATTTGAGCACTATAGGTTCAAGAAATTCTATAATCCAAAGAGTAGATTTCTAGGATAATCATACAGAATATTCAGAAAAATTATATGCAAGATAGCAATTTTCCTATCATTTCATTACTATTTCTGTCCGACCATTGATCCAAATCTAAATTATTTTACTTTATTCTAAGTTGCACATATACCAGAGTAGTGAATTATGTTTTCCAAGACTTAGTACATATATCACTAAGTGACGTCATCAATTAGGTAGCTGCATGACGTTATAACGCTAAAACCAGGAACGGTATACAAGTATATATGGAGTTTAAATTATTTTTTAAAAAAAGCAAATTTGACAAAGATTTCGACATAGCTAGTTTTTTTTTAACAAAGTAATTATACTACTTAATGTATTTTGACATAAAGAATTCACTAAGAAAAATTAGTTTTGACAGATTAAATGTTAAACTATTTGTTATTAAGAGAAGTAATTTAGAAATATATGTATATGTATAGAGGCTGGCTCTGTTGTCTCTAACCCTCCCTTCAGACTTTTCATTATTTTAGGTAAGTCTGGCTCCATGTAGTGCAAGGACCTGGAGAAGCAAATACAGTCAGACCTCTCTAAATGCACGTCGCCGGGACCAGCTCTAGCACATGCATTTAGAGAGGTATTGCATTTAGGGAGGTAAAAATCTATAGATTTAATATTAGTTGGGCCCAAAAGAAGACGTGCATTTAGAGAGGTGCTGCATTTAAGGAGGGTGCATTTAGGGGTCTGACTGTATTAGGCTCCACGTACATTTTCTGTTATTATAGGCTATAGCCAGTTGGTGATAGCAGACCTATTTCCATATGTTTTTTCAACACTTTGTAGTAATAATCTCTGATTGAGCAATAATAATTGTTTTTTGGTTTTTATTTTTATTTTTTGCAAAGAAGTTGTGTGATAGATCAGAATTCATATATATATATATATATTCATGTATAAGATCAATTAGGTGAATGATTTATCGTATGATCTCTGTGGGCAAAGCTTGATAGAAATATCAGGAGTTCGATTTAGTTAAATCGTGGGTCAGGCGATTGATATGTGTATGAATATAATTCATAAATGAAGGTGCAATACAGTATATTACTGATAAGGGAGTGAGAAGTAATTATATTAATTTATTATTTAATATTAATTATTATTATTAAAAGATAGCTTTTATATTGCTATTAAAGTATGTATTATTGTAGATAAAATATGGTAAATGCATACTTTTATAGAGAGATGTAATATATTATATAAGGTAAGTGTGCGAAAAAAGTAGATGTATTGGCTAATTCGAGTATACATGTATATGCGATGTGTGGGAGACTTAGTTTAGTGCTTGAACTTAAGCAATTAAGGATGAATAATACTATATATGTCAGGTAATAACACACAAAGAAGAGTTAGTTTAGTATATGAACTTAACAAATTAAGGAAAAATAATACTATATATGTTAGGTAATAACATACACAGAAGACGCTATCTTTGAAAATTGGGTTTAAATCAAAATAACATCTATGCACGTCTCATGATAATGCAATGTTATATAATATATTCATCATACTGTATCTGAATATAATTAATATTTATTTATTTCAAGATGATTTGAAATTATCAAATACTATATATCATAAGTTACAAAATACCACACTAATACATAAAAAAATACATACTATTATGTGAAAATTTAGTATAAAAACTAGTATTGTTTTAAGAGTATAATAAAGAAAGATTATCTATGGGTACTGTATTTTATTTTACGTGCAATTGTTTATAGCTATATTTATAGCATATCAATAAAACTTCTCATGAATATTTTGAATTTTCAATCTCATTAATAATTTTTTGTCAATCAGTGTTTGTTCTGTGATCAAGTAAAATCTAGTGTTAGTTGTGATATCATATTAAGTGGTGAAGAATATACAATAGGTGACAAATATGATCATGCTGACCAATTAGAAATTAGATTTTGGGAATGTACATTATTTCTTTTTTCACTAAGCCATAATCTCCATTTTACTATATTCCTAGAAATCTTTCAAAATAAGAGCTTAGTATACTTTTAAAAATTTGGCATTTATATGCCACATTTATGTATGTATTTTTGGGAGTAAAATAAATAACATTCCTTTTATTTATTTATTTATATATTATTATTATATTTTGGCTTTTTTCTTTTTTTGTACAAGTATTTATTTTAAGTAATCTAAAAATGAATATAATAAATAAATTATCAAAAAAAAATAAAAAATTTTTTATTACAGCAAACAAAAAATTTAAATTTATTAGAAACCAGAAATTATTAGTGCTTTAATTATTGCTTGCTTGCATATTTTTAATTAGTTAACATTTTTACAGAATTTCTTTTAAAACCAAGTTTTTTTCAAACATTATTATTACTCAAAGCTTCATATTGTTTATTAATATTTAAGCTATTTAGGCATCTATTTAATTTGATTGTAATATTGCAATCAAATCTTTTTAAACTTAAAAATTAGACAAAAAAGAAATGGCTACACATTTAGTATAAATATATAAAAACCAAGCAAATATTTTTAATAAGCCTTTTAAAACTTAAACAAAAATAACTTAATTAAATTTAATAAATACTTTTAAAATTAATTTTACAAGAATATAAAAATTATATTAAAAAAATTTATTAAATTTGGTTAAGGTTTTATTGAGTTATCCTTGTTTAAGGGTATAAAAATTTTATTATAAAAAAACTTGCTTGATTTCTATTGATTCAACTCTATATATCAAAGAAAAAATAGTATTTAAACTTAATTAAATTTAATGCCAAAATATTTAACTTTTAAAATTATTATTGTTTAGCAAATCACAAAAATTACAATCTTATCTTACAAATAATTAATAGTAATGCTTTTTATTGTATATATATATATACATAGTTTAAATAACTTGTACATATATTGGCCACCTTTAAATAATGCAAAAATTATTATTGCTTTTATAATACCCAAATTAATTTAATTGAGTTTGCAATTTAAGAAAAACAATTGATTTGTGATCAAATGCTATTTTTACACCCACCAAATATAATTGATCTATATATATCTCTAAATATTTTAAGTATATATTGATGTATTTTGTGTTAAGAAGACTGGACTTTTTTAATTAAATTAGAAAATTATAAAATTTAAAATTATATAAAATAAAAAATTTTTATTAAATATTCAGGAGAAAGTTTGGCAATAAGTTGTTTCTTTGCTTTGGCCAAAAATTTATCAGGTCTCTCTAAATGTATTTCATAAAGACCACACTTTTAATAACATCTAGAAAGATAGCTAACTAAACACAAAATATAATTAAAAGTTCAATTACAGGTTTTCTCTTGACAGCTCACTTTTTGAGAATAATTTTGGTAGTTATATCATCCAAAATGGTTTGGTGAATTAAAAGTTATTCAAGATTAAATTTTTATTTTATTTTAAATACAATATTAATTTTATATTATATATATATTATATACAGACACCTTCTCAAATCTGATACACATGGTGAATAGCTTTTGTATTGGTTTTGAGAGATTATCAGATTTAAAATACTAATAGCCTACTATTACATGATTACAAATAAATATAATTGACTGGATTATATTTCTTATATATATAATCTGTTGCACAAAACCCAATCTTAGCCAATCAAATCAATTTATATTACCTGTCAAAACTAATATCTTATAGATATTTGGCCTTTTGGGTATTGGTTATCAGAAATAGCAAGTTAACAGATTTTAATTATAGAACAGGCATGGTGGATCAATTTTTTATTGGTTATAACAGGTTATTGGTTTTGATGGGATCAGTTTTGAGAAAGTGTACTGTATAATACATATATGTAATATAAGAATTTGTCTTACCCCTCCTAAAATATTAAATAATACCTGTTATCACTATTATATTATTTTTATTACTGTATTATAAGAGGTTCATTAAATTTAACTAATTTTTGGTACTAAATTTAAGTTTTAGAGACAAAATTTATTATTTATTTTTTAAAATTAAAATTTTAATAGATGATTCACCAGTCACCTGGATAAAAAATTTTTTTTATATATATAAATTTTACTATAAGTGCATCTCTATCTAAAACTTTTTTTTTATACTAAGTAAATCACATCTTCAGCTTCTAACAAAAGTTGTAGAGCTCATCAAAATGTATAATATCTTTTTAGTATTAAATACATTTTGATAAGCTCTACAACTTTTGTTAGAAGTTGAAGATTGATTTACATAGTATAAAAAAGGTTTTAAATAGAGATGCTGTGTATTTGCACTTATAGTAAAATTTATATATAAAAAAAAATTTTATTCAAGTGACTGGTGGATCACCTATTAAAAAATTATTAATATTCTGATTTATAATAATAATATATCTAAGCTACCCTTTTATATATTTAAATCAGTTTTTTAAAGTAAGATTTTGATAAAGTGTTCTTACAATTAATTTTTTTAATTTTTTAGTTTCCGAATCAAGGAGATTATTACTTAGATTAGGATATTTTAAAGCAGTGTTTTTATAAAGAGTGTTTGTAATAGCTTTTTCTCTTTGAAATCAAGTTTATTATTACTGAAGTTTAAATATGCTAGAGTAGAATTTATCTCAAGAACTGT